AACCATTAAGTCTAAGTGCAGCCTCACAAAGCCACTAGCATGGTATTAGACATGCTGTTCTGGCTCTGTGGACTCTCACCGCACCAATGAACACAAGTAAAACTTAGAAACAAGTTTTCATTTAAATGTGTACGTCTGAAAATAACTTCAGCAATGTGTTAGAATGAGATGCAGAGTGTGGTAATCACTTTCTAGACAATTCACAGCCATTTCCAGCAGATCATTTGGCTTCTCTTTCTATGCACAGCACAGATGAGCTCATCAGACCATCAAATGGCCTGTAGCCACCACATGTGTTTGTTTTTCAGTGTGTTAGGGGCTACGATAGCCACTTGTCATTTCACTACATAATTTGCTGTTAACCTATCCCTCTTTTGTGAGGGTTGAATAAAAATCTAATAAAATAGTGTCCCAGAAGTCTCATCCTTCAATCCGTCAACCCGTGATTACAAACACCTCCACCGGCATTTTGTTGATGTGAACGAGCCCATTAAGTCAGCGAGGCTTCTGTGATATGTTGACTCTCTTAATTTCCAAATCAGTCGAGATATTGCAATTAGGAGAAACAGATGGCATGAAATGACCAGGATATTTAAGGCTCGAAACACCCGAGCACATCACTGTATTGCCATGGAAACCGTCACGCTCTTGCAATTTTCAAATGGCCACAATTAGTTGAGAGGAACAAAAAAGCTGGGTACATCAGAGAGATCATGGCCAGATGTTCAGATATGATTTTAGCGGTGGCAGGAAGCTATGACTGCTCTCTGATTCATCTCAATTACACAGTTGTGAGTCTCGATGATGACTATGCAGGTAGCGATGATGAGGGTATTGCTGGTGGCAGTTTTTTGATTTTAAAGCACTGACAAAAGGCTGCGGTACACGTACATAGTAAATAACAGAGGGGATGTCAGTGTTGGTAATACCAGAGAACTATTGTTTATGTAATATATATATAATTATAATAAAATATAATATATGTTTAGTGGTGTGTCTTCTGGAAAAGCTAAAGAATACCTAACAGATAAATCTCTAGGCATGTCAAGCCTGTCAAGCTTCGTTTTTCTTGAACTTTCTCCAAGCAATATATAAATTGTTATTTAAAAAGCTCGGAGGGTTCTATTTTATGGTCTTTCAAAAATTAGAAATACAAGGTTAAATGTGAAACGAATAGGCTAAACAGTGCGGTCTAACGTAAGCTGCAAACATTAGCATACTTGGCTAACTAGCTTTTGTAACTATAGTAGTGGTGTTACGTCAAAGGCTAAGAAACATATGATGAATTTAATACATTATTTTGAGGGGTTACAGGTTAGAAAGAGAGTTGTTCATGTGTGATACACCCACAGTGGGCTGGTAAAAATGCTTAAATCAGAGTTGGAGGCTCTTTCTTGCTCATCATTTTGGGAAGTTTACATAACAACCCCAGCCAAACTCGGGTGCCGTGCCATTGTTCCAACGGCCCATTACTATGAAACCCAGATGGTCCAAAAAATGTCCCATTGGACCACAAGTTATTTGCCAGACCGCCTGTTATCCCGCCAACAAACGCCCATTGCTAACTTATGTACGTTACTGAACTGACGTTACTAACATTAACTATTTCCACCCAGACCAATCTTTTTCTAGACCTAACCAAGTATTGTTAACATCAGAACAGACTTATGTTATTAACAAATTGCTGTAATATAATACTAGGTCTAACTAGCTACTCTGCAATTCAAGAACAATTCTGCTCCTTTATTTTTATATCTAATACATAAATCACCTGGTGAGGATTCTAACAGTTTGCCTGGTGTGTAGCTTTAGCCTCAGTCTTTTAGCCCAACATCATCTATGTAGCTATGAAATGCATACTTAAGTCCCTTTTACAGGCTTCTTCGGGTCACAGAGCTAATGCTAATTAGCTAGCTAAAGCAGATAATATATGCCAGTCATTGTTGTTTTCGGGCGGCAAAAATGAGAAGCTGCTTTTGTCTCCTTTTGTCCCAAAAATGACCATAAACTTTGATTGGGAAAACTGCCATTGAAAACTGTACGCAATGCTAGAATGGTTATCTTGATAGGCAGATAGTCACTGGGGGAATAGGACTTCACTAAGGGTTAATTGGTCCCTTTGATCAGGATGATTCATTTCCAAGAAAAACAAGGTCTTCTTCTTTCATTACACACACGCACATACTGTCTCACACCTGGTTAGAGTACACACCTCTTTCCCTCATTGCAAAGTTCCCTTAATGGTCATCCACTACAAAGGCAGCAGTATAATGAAGTGTGGCTGACTGACACGCACCTGGAGAAAGACGATAAGCACCAGAGTCAAAGGGTGGCAGTAGGGGTGGGGGCTGTTCGGATGACTGTAGGAGACATTTTAGTACACAGGTCTTAACATATTGCTCTGGGCCACAAACACACTTCCCACAACCCACTCACACTTTCCATTTTTCAGTTGCAGTCTCTGAGCACACCAGTGAGTTGGTGTGAGTCATCTGCCTCCAAACGCCCCGTTATTGAGCCTCACTTTGAAGAAAGAGAACAGCATGTGTGCAATGGAGCCAAAGTCTCTGGTTGCATTATTTTGAGGTAACATTTTGTGCGTCCGTGCTAACTCCGTGATCTACATACATGTGTATCTGGATTGTTGTGCGTGCGCAAGTTTTCCACCATCATAAGTGTCCCTCCTCTGTTCTCCGAGTGGTTCACTGGTAAAATAGATGTAAACACCATGCAAGTTTACTTTTCAGTAGATCTGGTTCACAGACAGCTGGTTACATCTCTTTGTGTTGTGATTTATTATTCATTGGCTGTGCAGCAGTAATTGCAGCATGCAGCAGCAGCGCCTGCATCTGATGGAGCACAAATGAATAAATAAATCTAGATGGCTGAGCCATTTGAACGTTTGACATTTACTGATGAGGCAATTAAGAGAGCAGCGCACAAACGCACAACCTGCATTACACTGCCTGATCCTTGTGCAGCACAATAACACCAACTACAAACTACCCCCCCCTCTCTCTCGTTCTCTCTCTAACTGTTTAACAGTTTCTAAACCTAAAGGCCTTTACAGGGTATAGTCAGACAGTGATAGGTGACTGCTCTGCAACAGATGATGACCTTTTGAACTAAAATTAATTTGCATACATTCAAATGCATTTCCTCCTCCACCTGTAATTAGTATTCTATGCTCCCATCAGTTGACCGAAGCCATCACAGCAAAGCTGGACCAAATGGACCACATTACTCTGTATCTTGCTTCCTGTCTTTTGCTTGCAGAGTCGAAAGTAATATCTGTAAAATTTGTTTAAACATGACTACGTGGTGTAAAAACGACACCGTTTTCTGTCTCTATATCATCCTGCTAGACACCTGAGGTCCTCTGAGACCAGGTTTTCAGTTCCTCAGTAGTTGCGCAAAAGTTATGAAATCCCCTCCCTCTGTTACATGATCTCAACCCACTGATGACTTACAGTATGAAAGAACATGTTCACACTTTTTCTCACTGGCATCTGCCTGGGAGTGGGACAGTGCATTGTGGAAGGGATGTTTTGAAAATGTTAAAAGTCACTGATTCTTTTTTCATTCATCACTCTTTCCTGCAGTGCTTTCCAAAGAAGTAGGGCTGAGTGAGTACACTGTCATCTGTATTTATATCTGTGCTTGGAATAGGTGGATCTTTACCTCGACATGGGTGGGAATAATAAAGTCCTTTGTTCAAGCCTGAAATTGATATGTGTTGATCAGAAGTTGCTATATTTATTAAAAACTTTTTAAATAATTGAGTTTCAGAGCAAGTTTTTAATCACAAGAGTAACATAATTAAGTTTTTTTAAATAAAAGATGCTATATTATTAGTGTATCGTGTGATACTTGTACCTGTAAAAAGTACATTATCTGTACCTGATACTCGTTTAAGCCGAGTACTTGATCAAGTCTGTACCTAAGGGTTGAAAGTCCTCTCTCAGAGGTCACAAGATGAATCTGAGGGGTTGCAAGACAATTAATGAGACAAAAAAGAAGAATAAACAAAGTATTCATGTATTGTATTTTTGTGTTTTTTATTTGACCTTTCTCTAAATGTTTCTTTTATGACCTGACCTTCTGCCCAATTATTTGGACTTTCTGTTTCCTGCTGTTTTGGATGGCCTCATGCTCCTGTAAGCGTTCAACAAAAAACTGAACGGTCATCTGCATTTGGTGCCATCACCCTGCTACTTACGTCTTGACTTCTTTATATCCTTAAAGCAATAGTGTACCATTCTGGGAAATATGCATGACTTGCTGTCTTGGTATGTGTTAGAGGAGAAGATTGAAACCACTGTCAGATCGCTATCTTGACTGTCCTGACTGTTCCAGCTTCTAGCTAATCCAAAAATGGGCTAAGACGATGGAGCTGAGGCGGGCTGAATGAAGCCTGGTTGCTGAAAACAGCCGTTAGTGACGGCACCTACCTGTCACCTAAAGCGAATGTGCCTTTAACTGCTTTTATATAATTGAAACAGGTGAGTTATATAAAAATTCCTCTGCACAGTTGTCATGAACGGGGGAATTTAGCTATAGAGACAAAACATGTTTATTTCTGCTGTAAAGTTGGCCAATGTTAAGGTCTAGTGTGGGATTTAGTGGCATCTAGTGGTAAATTGACAGATTACAGCACACTGAATACCACTCCCCTTCCAAGTGTGGGAGAAACTAAGGTAGCTGTTTATTTGTTGCCACTTCAGGTGAAAGTGGTTTCAATCTTCTTGTTTAACTTTGGGCAAGAAATGGAATAAATGTATTCTGGACCGACCCGTCGGGATGTTATATAATGTATAATATGCCTTTCCCTCCATCCTTCCTTCCTTTTTCCCTTCCCTCTGCATTTGACACACCAGCTGCTGCTGCCAGGAAGGTGTCAAATTCAATATCAATATACCTTTTCTTACTTCCTTCCTTCCTTCCTTCCTTCCTTTCCTTATTTCCTTCCTTCCAGACCAACAAGCCACCCCGTTGCCTCTGTATAAATCAGCCCTCGCCGACTCCGCCCCTCCAACTCAGATGTGGATGAGAGAAAAAAGGCCAGCAACAGTGTAACGGACAACACAGCCTCTCCGCTCAGTGTAGTAGTGGATGTGTGCTCCGTGAACGGAGAGCAGAGGCGAGCCGCACCGAGCCGCATGCTGGCCGTTCAGTAAGGCGAACCGGAGCAACATGGACCGTCGGACATCAACAGCAGCATCCAGCGAGGACCGACACAGTCTTTAGGTAAGGCTTTGTTCGCTTTCCGCAGCATTTTCATACAGATCTGCATTTGCTGCTCCAGGGCGCTTTGTGCAGGACACGGAGCTGCACAGGGGGAGGGATGTGCACGGACGGATGTTCGGTTCAAACGATCCGATATTTAGAATGAATTTAGATCAAACCTGCGGATGAAATTGTAGCACAGGATCCTTTGTTCCTCGGTTACTTGAGCGGGGATCATCGCGGGAAGCTCATTTAACAGCGGCTCATTTAGTAAGCAGCTCTTTTAAGGTTCACAGCGTTAAAAAAAAAAATCGTTTTTAATTAAAAACGATGAGCATTATTGATACATGCAGCACGCTTCTGTGTATCAATAATGACGCTCCCCTTGTCTGCTGCCGCGGAGTCCCTGAAACAAAACCAGGTTTCTGCACAACGAAGAGTTCATTCACAGCTCACAGTGAAGACAGGCCTGCACGCTGCTCTACAACTTAAGGAGAAGATGCAGAGGTTTATTGTTCCCTTGACACTCAGTTATTGTTAAACAGCTTCATGCACGTGGTGTCACCCCATATACAAAACAGGAAACCCAGGCCAAGATAACGTCACCAGGGCAATAAAACATGTCCTTTTTTAGAACACTGATAGATAGATACTTTATAACGACCAGAGTCAAAGTAAATTCTCTTAATATTACATTGGTGAGAGAAATCTTATGCACAGGTCTGCGTCACTCTTGTCATGATGGGAATAACACTGCCCTTGTGCTCAAAAAGTTGATTTTAGCAGCGCTGCTGAAGGACTGATGGGCTGCTGCTCCTGGAAATGTGTTCATTTCACATCACAACACTTTCACATCCACAGCTGCATCGCTTTTCAACTGTAACAGGCTTTTGTTTGGAGCAATTTAATTAGTGACAGCCAGATACAATCTCTGCTTTTGGACCAAGTGCTTTAAATTAAACACAAAAGTGTTACGTTCCCTAATCGCCTTCACATCACATGATCGGAGGCTGTGACAGCATTTAAAAGCAGAGGAAATCATACAAGTGTCAAAGGCAATTAATGTCTTCTGTGTGTGTGTTTGGGTGGGGGTTGGAGTGTGTTGCCTTTTGAAGTGCTGTGTGTTGTCTGATATCAGCAGCGTGCTAGAGTGGAGGTTTATCACATAGCTGTTGGGAGTTGTCACCAAAACCCACGATCACATCACCTTCAACAGCGGTGCAAGTCAAAAGAAAAGACTGAAACTCATTACAATAACAATACACACACACACACACACACACACACACACACACACACACACACTTCACTGTAGTCCACAAAGGCACCGGTCTGTCCTTTGTAATTTCTCCCTGTGCAGCATAAACAGCACACACAGGGAAGAAAATACAAAGGCTCTCTCCAGGTTATAGTGACATTGCGTCAGAAAAGTGTCTTTTCGTTTGTGTGTGCAGCTGCTGAATAATTATGTGCTCACTGGTTTTCAAAGCTTTTGAGAGGTTGTGACGAGGACAAAAGTTGAATTTCGTGGACAGCGTTTTAAAACCACCGGAGCATAGCTGAAAAGACACACATTATATAAAACTAAAAGCTAAATAATTTAGCTTTTCTTTGCCAGAATGGTGTCTGTTATAGTAAGGTGACTTTAGACGTTGCTTAATTGATGCAATATAAATGTGTTGATGGATACCTGATAAATACACATAACCACCACCACTGTGTGAAAAGGGCTCTCACAGAACATCTGCATTATTGCTTTTATCCATATCTATCTAATTACTGCTACATACTGGCTGGCACCTCTTTGTCTCTGCAGCTGGATGTTTATTGTCTCAAATGGGCCGCCCTCCCTCTGTGTGTGCAGACAGAGTACAGGTGTGTAGGAAAGCTGCTTTCTTTGTGCGCACTAACAATATTCCACTTTTATCTACCATGGTGAACCACTATACAGGAGACCTGAACCTGCACAGACCCTATTTTCTCATGTTTGTACACCAACATCTAAGACTCTAAGAATACTGGCACTTGGTCTTTAGTATTGTTCCACATAAGGATTTTCCAAAAGATGTTTCCGTGCCATGCAAAATCTTCAACTTCTCATAATGTTTTTGTTTAATCCATTCCACTGGGACTTTGACTGGCAAATCAATGGGAACACAAAACTACTACTGGGACATCACATGATACAAGGTAACGCTCATTATTCCCAAAGAAATTACTATATGCAGAAATGACACATAATGTAGAAAAAAGAGGACTCCAGCTTCAACAACAAATCATGGTGTGGCTTTTTCAGTATATGGAAGCTCATACCGAGATGAAATGATGTGTGTTCATTTAATTCTTCGTTTATCAATTTTCGTTTTAATCTTTTTGATTATTGTGGACAATGTGCACAGTGGTCTATGCTAACATGGATTAGGGTGCAGCCACCTGACGAGGAGTGAACAAGGCTAAATTAGATCATTTTCTGTCTAATCTATTAGCAATGGTCAGTGTATATTAACTATATGAGCACAGTGTTCTTTGTTCACACCTTGTTGCTGACATGGGTGGGTTGAAAAGGACTTTTGTAGGTTATTTTTTATTATATTTTTATATTTTCTTAAGGCACAAAATAGCAGTGAGGAAATGCTGATTTTGAAATACTAACTGATGAACTGCGTAATTGATGTCAGTGATGACCCAGTAGAGGAGTTAGTCAAAGGTTGACTGCTTTGAAGCCGTTTTTATGTGAGCGTGAGCCGTGAAAAGAGCTTCTCTATCAGAGTTGCCACTAAAATGTATTAAAGCTGCAGTATGCAATATTATTTCATTATAGTTATATATATATATATATATATATATACCTATATTTGATCACAGTGACTCTGTACAAACAAGGGTCATCCAGGGTTCTACCTGTCTACATCTGTTAAGTAATAATGCTCTTTCGTAATGTTTTACTAGTCGAGTGGGAATTCAAGTTTTGTAATCGGGGGCAGGCTAGTTTAAGTTAGCTAAGCTAGCTTAGTATTTTTATTCCATTGGCAGCCATGGATTTGAGAAAGTGGTTGACTTGCTCAACAGAAATAAGTTTGCATGTCACAGACAACGTTTGTCCTTGCATTTATTTACACCTAAGTCATTCCTCCTTGTGTTTTTAGTCAGAGTTTTTAGGAAAGTGACAAGAATGCACAATTTTGTGCATTTTATTTTCTTAAAAATGTCTCTGAGAGCCTACCACCGAATGATTTCAATTTCACCATGGACAACTACGTTGCAACTTGCCAGTAATTTGCTGCCCCCCTTTATAAGCCTCATGCCCCCCTTGGATATTTGTTCTAGCTCCAGCACTGCCTTCCTCTCTGCTAGGCTCGGTGGCGTTCACGCAGAAGCTGAGTAAAGAGCTATGGCAACTTGTGATCAATTTCCAATAACTTCTTTGCCAACAAAGCCGTATAGTACAAAACAAGCCAAATAAAGGAAGACCTTGGAGAGAGGGAGAGAGAGAGAGAGAGAGAGGGAGAGGGAGAGGGAGAGGGGAGAGAGAGAGAGAGAGGGAGAGAGAGAGAGGGAGAGAGAGAGAGAGAGAGAGGGAGAGAGAGAGAGAGAGAGAGAGAGAGAGAGAGAGAGAGAGAGAGAGAGCTCGACAACAAAGCTATACGAGGCAGCAGATAGATACGGGGGGTTTAGCATTGTGTATGTTTGAGTTGCCTACTGCAAAGAAATAAAACTGGAATATTCAAACCTGTTCTGAAGACTCACAGATCATTATGATTGTGTTTCTGTGTTGAATGTGTGACTGATGGACCTTACAGCATTGGCAAAATGGAAATAATAATTCTAGCACAGAAAAGGCAAGAGTTCTACTTCAAAGACACATTTCCTTACTACTGCAAAGGGATACAGACGTTCTGTCTCTGAAAGACAGATGCGAAACGGTCGATCATTTCACCAGCAGCGCAGTGAAGCACCTTTTTAATATTGCACCACTGCAGCTTCGAGGCTGCTCAGAACAGTCTCATTGATTTAACCATAAGATGATATCGCCTGTCACAAGAATGAGGTTAGAAATTAGAAATCGACTTAAAATGAGAAGGTTTTCAATGTCAGTCGATTAATATCGATGGAAAAAATGGGGGGATAAATAGGCTATGTTTAAACCTGCAATAACTGTTATTCTTTTGGCCACCTGGCGGCAGTGGACGCGAGTTGTGAACACAACATTCACAAACTGATAAAAGTTGATTCATTTTGAGTCGTCTTTTTAGCCATGTGGTAAATCCAACATTCAGTCTTTCTACCACCTGCTGAACGAAGCTGTCATCTGATGTGTTTTTATGTCAAATATAGATTTATTTCTGCTTTAAACATAAAAGGATTTCCTCATCTACTGCTACTTACTATTAAGGTTCAGTGCTCAGTATCTCACAGCTGCTCATGAAATGGCAAGACTAAACGCTTGGGTTGACATTGTAGCTTCTTTTTAGTTCATGCTACAAAATTTGGCTGAAGCTGTAGGTAGAGTTTAATTCTGTATCTATTCCAGACTTTATATGTTCAGTTACAGTACTGTACAGTACAGAGGAGTGGAGGGATTGCATGGGCAGGGCACTCTGGGAAGGTGGAGGTGTAATTTCAGATGCGCGCTGACCGACCAGAGCAGCAGTTATCTGAGCTCACAGCCTTCAAAGGAAGGAGCGCTGGAGTCATCAAGACCAGCTGTGCCCCTCAGTCGTGTGTGTGTGTGTGTGTGTGTGTGTGTGTGTGTGTGTGTGTGTGTGTGTGTGTGTGTGTGTGTGTGTGTGTGTGTGTGTGTGTGTGTGTGTGTGTGTGTGTGTGTGTGTGTGTGTGTGTGTGTGTGTGTGTGTGTGTGTGTGTGTCTGTGTGTGTGTGTGCTGTGTGTGTGTGTGTCTGTGTGTCTGTGTCTGTGTGTGTCTGTGTCTGTGTCTGTGTGTCTCTGTGTCTGTCTCTCTCCACAAGAAACACATAGACGTCCTGGGTTATTAACAAGATTGTAAACTTCCTGAGAGGAGCAG